TAACGAGGCGCGTTTGCTCAGATTATGAATTTTCTGTTATGAGATTATAAATGTACTGTAAATTCATAATCTCATAACAGAAAATTCATAATCGCATAAAAGAAAAATATTTATTAAATTAAGAATTTTCTGTTATGAGATTATGAATTTACAGTTATGTAATTATGAATTTTCTATAAATTCATAATCTCATAACAGAAAATTCATAATTTCATAACAGAAAATTCATAATCTTATACCAGAAAATTCATAATCTCATAACAGAAAATTCATAATCTCATAAAAGAAAATTCATAATTTCATAACTGCACATTCATAAATCCATGCCTGCACATTCATAATTTATGAATGTTGAAGAAACTTGCGCGAAGAAAAAGTGAAACCGCGAAATGTGAAAATGAAGAAGAAAAGTCGCGCAGTTAATTAAAAAAAAAAAAAAAAAAAAAAAAAAAAAAAGATAACGGTGCACCGTTACCGTTGGGACCGTGTTCACCATGGATGGTGAACACTGTTCCATGGCATAATGATTGGATGAATATAGATCTTTCTTGTAATCTCCAAAGTATTCGAACAAAAAAGTCTTATTGGTGAAAACAAAAAAAAATCAACAATTCAGTTGATTTTTTTTTTGTCAGACATTATAATTGAATATGACTCATTAATAAACTTTTTTTTGGTGGAAACCACAATGTGACCAGCGTCTTCCACCCGATTCGCTTTGAGAGGCACAGAAACTGGCCCAAAGGGAATCATCACTTGTAGAAATTGAACCTGAGTTATCTCAAAATTCTCCCCCACAAAGAGAGCTCATTTGCCACTTGAGCTACTCTATTGGGTTACCCATTAATAAACTTTAATCATACAACTTTGCACCTTTTCTTCTAGCGTCATCCATACTCGAGCAAATTTAGGAAGGAAATAAAGGAGAAATCATCTCAAACAAGAACCTAGGTTAATAATATAATTAAGAGATATGGAGGGTGAAGTTAACGACTTAACGGAAGCAAACAAAAATTTACGGAGCAAGGGGTTATTTAAGAGAAAAGGTATTAATAATTAAGGGTAAATTAGGAAAATTAGTTTAAAATATTTTTAAAAAAATAATATCAACTATTCATTTGAATAAATAATTATACCGACATTTTTTTATTCTTGTTAAGGGCCTAACTTTATTGTCTCTTATTAAGATGAGATTATATTATTATTATTATTATTATTATTATTATTATTATTATAATGCTCATATGCGGCAGTGTTGTTAGGTGCGGCGGTGCGGCCTTATCTCTATCGTCAAAGCTTCTCAATCTAATGGCAATGGCTAATTAATGAAGATTTGAAGATTTAAGCGCGTTCTGGTAAGTGGGAGGTGTTATGGTAATTATAGTGGTCATTTTTAGCGGTCGCTTGACAGAATACATCAACAGTGTTAACAAAAGACACCAATAGTGTTAGAGGAAAAAACACAACAATGAAATACACAAATACACCAAAAAACACACAACACACCCAAAAAATGAATTAATTCCAGTAATGGTCTTCCGACTATATTGATTTTCCATAATTGGTCCCCGACTTTTAATTTGGACAATTTAAGTCTCTTGACTTTCAAATTCTTTCCAAGGTTGGTCCTTCTGTCGAATGAAGGTTAAGTGGAAGTTAAATGAAGGGGTAAAGTAGTCCTTTCACCTGCTTGTGTTTTTAATTTAAATAAATGCACGGGAAGAATGAAAGCCAGGTGCAGTTTTCCGGTCTGCAGGTGGCCAATTATTAGAATTTATCCCTGGTTTCTTCTTGAATTTGACTGGATTTGGTTCATTAGTTGCTCCGGATTCAAAGCTAGTCATCACTGGCTCCTCATTTTCGATTGAAAACGTGTTATTTGAAAGGGACCAAACAAGTTCTCCTTCAAGGAGTTTCCACATTTTTTGGCTATTTATAATGAAGAATTCAATTCTTTCAAAAAAAAAAAATTAATGAAGAATTCAATATGCTCCTCAGTTGAACCTGATTCTGCCATGGTTGTGATCGTGTGAAGAAAATTGGCCAAGTTGAGATCAGGGGTTCTACCACCAATGAAGCGAGAAAGTTCCATAAATACAGAGTGTGAATCTAATTCTCGAGAAACATACAATACAGTGTCCTGTAAGTCACCACAGAAAACATTAGGAATTTAGATCAAATATGTACATTTTTTAACATTGCAAATTACTATCAGACTGTACACAAGCACCTCCAATAAAACTCACTCTAATCACAGAAACTCAGGCAAAGGAAAGAGGAAAACATTTTAGTGCAGCAAGTTAACTGAATTTAAGAGAAATAACAAAAAAGAAACTCCTACTGAACAAAGTAACAACATTGCAGCAGCAAGTTACAAAATTATTTAGCCTTTTAAATTGCATCTGTGGGATTATTATAATTAACAAACAACCCAGAAATGAACTTTTTTTCCTCCTAACAACTGTGTCATTTTTTGGTTACTTAGTAAATGAACAACATTAATAACTACTTATGTCCTTTGTTGATTACTTAGTACTTGAACAGCAAACAAACGCAATACTGAATGTACTGTCAAGTATTGATACCTTTAGAAGAGAGTTGCACTCGAACCTTTTCTTGGAGTGCATTTCATATCCTTTAATCATATTTTTGTAGAACAATTTTTCTACATACAACAAAAATCTTTAGACCTCTTAGGTTTTCAAATCCAGATTGCTTGAGCTGAGAAAATCTTTTGGGATGATTGGTGTATATATAGCGCTGAGCATATTAGAGCCCAGTTGACCAGTGAAGCAACAGAGCTAGGGTCAGACACATCATAATATATTGCATCACGAATTACAACCTGCAACAAAGGAATATTACATATTTTAACATTCATCAAAAAAACCATATAGATGAAAGAACATGAAACTGAGTTACTTTCAGGTGAGTACAAATATTTATGATCATACTCGCAGAATTTATTTATGTTGCATTAGAAGTATACTAGAAAATCATAGCATGCTATTTGCTTTATATTGAACATATTGTCCTCTTGGTTTTAACCTTTACACATGCATATTTGCAGGTCTAGTGGTAATGTGTGGGCAGAAGCAGGGTTTTTTAAAAATTGCAACTTACGCAGATGGATACATTGTTTTCTCTTATAGTTTCTAACTTCTATATATCTTCAGATCACATGGTCCATTTGTAGTCTTAGAGGTAAAAACAGGTGTGTTGTGTATAAAAGAACTGCAACTTTAGTGTCTCAAAGAATGCAGTGATATACATACATACATACACATACATATATGAGAGACATACCAGCTTATCCAAAAAAGAGTGAGATTATTAGAAAAGGCGACCAAGGATTGCATTCAGTTTTAAAATGGAGGGAAGACACATAATAGTTGGCAGAAGTGGAAAGAATTTGTTTTCAAAAAACATTGGAAAGAATTCAAAAGTCAAGGGACCTAAATTGTCCAAATTAAAAGTCGGGGACTAATTGTAGAAAATCAATATAGTCGGAGAACCATTGCTAGAATTAACTTTTCAAAAAATACACCATATAACTCACCACCTCAATGATGTATTTCCAACACTGTGTGGTGCTTTTATTCATACCTAATGGTGTGTTCTGGTGATGTGTACTTAATTTGTGCATGTTGTTTTTGTGTGCATTTTCTAACATGGACGGTGTATATTTGTATAACTATTAGTGCGGTCGCACTAGTCGCACGAGAAGGCGTGGCCGCACCTAAACTTGGCACCAACATGAATCCACAAATACACCAGAGTAAAGTTACTAATGCACCAATAACGAACATAAAACACACAACACTATGACTTGCCATATTCTGGTGCCCAATGATGACTTTAGCCTTGCAGTTCGCATAGTGTGAGAACGTGCGCGAAAATATTGGATAAGCCTTGATGAATGTGATTCATTAGATTTATCAAATCTAATGGCATGCAATTGACCGCACCGCCGCATCTAACAACGTTGCCGCACGTGAACTCCTCTCTCTCTCTCTCTATATATATATATATATATATATATATATATATATATATATATATATATATATATATATATATATATATATATATATACACACCAATGACCTCACAACAATAGATGAAACTCCCATGACGGGTCGTTATATCGTGGACCGTGGTGCATGTTCACCGCGGTCAAAACGGCGCCGTTTCTTTAAGTAAAGAAACGGCGCGCCGTTAGTGTTAACGGAACGCGCATTTTTTGTATGTTAATTACCAACTGACACTACAGTATATTTAAACCGACACTGCCTCACGTATTATTTTTATATTATCAAATGAAACTGCAATTATATCAAAATGATACTGTAGTTGTGATAAAATGAAACTGCAATGTATATAAAATGAAACTGAATAACATTTCACGTATTTGAGTGTATATTGTACAATGAAGTTGTAATTATATCAAATTATTAAAATGATCATGTAGTTGTGCTTTAATAAAACTATAGTGTATATAAAATAAAATAAAGTAACATTTTCACATATTTGAGTCTATAAATATCGAATGAAACTGTAGTTATATCGAAATGAAACTATAGTTGTGTTGAACTGAAACTGCAGAGTATACAAAATGAAACTAAATAACAGAGTTACTTTTTGCGAAAGGGTACGGAACAGCGGGAAACGGATGCCGCTTCTTTTCATTAAACAAAACGACGTCGTTTTGATGCGCGGTGCATAATCAATTATGCACCGCGGTGCACGATATAATTTGCCCCCATGACTATAAGCTTGATCGATCTTGTGTTTTTGGTTCAGGCATCCAAGGAAAACTTCATTCAGCAGAAGCTTGTCAATTCTTGATAGGCTGAGAACCCAAGAATTACGTAATCTTGCAATATTTAATTTTCTTGGAATTGAAGACTGCAGCTGTCTTGAAAGTATATACACACACACTGGTAAACGTGAGAATATATTGAAGCTAGTTGCAAGTGGGCTTTCTAGCGTTAATCAAAATGGGTGAGTGTTCCATGTATACAAAGAGAATACAAGGGCAGAAAGCGATGCCATTTGTAGGCCTTTACGCAGCAGCTGCCTCCACCATCTGCTCCATTGCAATGCTCCTTAACTCCATTTACAAACAATTATCTTTCTACAAACACAGCAAGACCTTCCACTTCTCAAGCAAATACTTCGCTCTCAATGCAACTTGGCTCACGCTATTAGCCGTGGCAACCAAGCTCACAGGCGATCTCACAACCCAGATGCCCTCACCCAGAGATAACCTCACAAAAATCAGTAGCACTGCTTTCTTAACCATGGCGATGGGTAATTTTTTCACCACACTGGCTTCCATGACTGATAAAGATATTCTAATCAATGTCACTGCTTTGGGCATATTGGTAACCACTGTTCTTGTCAATCTATGCATCCAACTAAGTACCCATGTACTCGAATTCTCATTATTTCCCAAAATCATACTTATTATGGTTTTGCTGGTTTGCTCGTTCATAACAATTGTGTGTTCCGCTCTAGCAGTTCCAGCAATTAAGAAACGCTCTGAATCTAAGTATCAGACTATTCATAATCATATACAGTTATTGGAAGGGCAACAACGCACGGTTGAAGAGATGAGATTGAGCATTACAAAGTATTGGGTGATGGCAGCCTCTGCTAGCCCCCAATTTATGATGACAAGGTTGGCGACCTTCATTTATGTCGGGTGCATCTGTCTATTGTGTTCTTTTGTTTATGATTTAGAACGGCTTCTCATGGATGATGCATTTGATAATTGGACTTCTCACTGTCATCAGGAATCTGATTATAAGTGGTCAGTAAAATTGATTCTATTCTCTCAATATTTTCCCATTCTAGGAAACCTAGATTGGTACATTCTGCTCCGTATCTTGTGTTCTAAGTATGAGAATAATGGGATCAAAATCAATATAAAAGAATTCATCATAGAATCCTATTGGACTGAAAAGCTGGTGGAATGGAGACAGAGTTCAATACCTGTGAGGATTAATAGAGGCAGGGTTAGAAAATTTGTCCACGACATAAAAGCTTCGATCTTGACACTCTGCATTAGACTCCAGACCGTGGTTGTCAAGTGGTGCAAGTTCAGTTGTGTTGTCTTTTATTACACCATGCTTCCATCTCTATTTATCATATATCATTTAGAAAAATGTATCGTCCTTAGGGGCTCATCATCAGATGAGATGATAGATTATAGCTGCTATCTTATACTACTTGAAGGAAAAGAAAAAGAAAAATTCCCAGCAACATTCTTGAGAAACATTGTTGATTCGGTGGATGTACATATTGAGAAGGGTAAGATGAAGCAGCCAAACAAACTCTTCGATCTTCTCAATCAAAGTTTCTCCTTTGACGGGGTGAGAGAATTTGATAGTAACCAAGTTTTAAGTCTATTATATGACGAACTTCCTAATTGTTGGACACTTCCAATAGTGACATTAACAAGCATCGCCATTACACTTCCAAACATCGAAAGCCAGCATGTTGATTGGTTGGTAAGTAGTGTTGACGAAGGCCTCCACTATGCACGCCTTATAGATGCCTTGGATGAGAAGCATTACTTGAAAGGCATAAAAAGTGCAGCAGATGTAGTGTGGGTGGGAGTTGAGCTTCGCAAGATGTGGTTGGACGTTGATCTTGAGAGAAAAGCTACTGGCCAAGTAAATTCTACAAAGGAGATTATTCAAGCTCTTTCTGTTGAAGCTAAAAGGATTGTCATGGAGTTTTGGTGTGAGGAAAATCCTCTCTATTGGCCTGCAAATGTCTTAGCGGCTAATTCAATGTACAGGGTTAGCAATACCATTCTGCTATGCTATGAAAATGATGAGTGCCGACCTGAAGAGGTTTTTCGAAAGTTAATTTGCATGATTGCAGACATATTGGCGGCTTGTCTTACCAATTTGTCGCATTTGATAGCTACCAAGTGCAGTTGCAATGTCATAGAGCAAAGGGAGAAAAATGTTCGTGAAGCAGCTATCCTTCTGGGTGAAACTGAGAATATCTTGAAGCATTTCAAATATCGCCAACTTACACGCATTGGTCCCGACCATCCATTATACATTGATGATTGGCGTCGATGGATGGAGAGACGAATCCCAACAATTTCAACTTCTGCAACACACAATGGAACACTCTCAACTGTTTAGTCCAATGAGCATGTGGTTGTTCAAGGATTGGCTTGAGAACAATTGGAGAAAACTAAAACCTTAATCCACATGTTTTACTTGAGCTAGATATTCTTTATTGTCGTTCTATATTCACTACACAATAAATGCTTTCAACATCGATTATTTTACAGTTACAATATCGATTATTTTGCATAGTAGATCTGGCAATAGTAGTAACTAAATGATACGACGTTGAATATTATTTTTAAATTTTTTAATAAGGAGATACAATGTCAATTTTGTCGTATCATTTAATTTAAAAAAATTATAAATATAAATGATACCACATCGATTTTTCCTAAAATTTGATGTTGTATCTTTTTTTTTTTTTTAATTAAATGATATGACGTCAGCTTTTAGGAAAAATCGATGTCGTACAATTTTTTTAAAAAAAGATACCACGTCCATTTTTTAGAAAAAAACTGACGTGGTATCGTTTAATTTTAATTTTTTTTTAAATAAATGATACGACGTTGATTTTTTGTAGGTCATTTTGGACTTTCCTTTTAACTATTCATTTCAATATAAGTAACAATTATTATTGTTTTTTTTTTTTAAAGTAAAGTTAAATACTATTTTAAATTAAAAAAAAATTATAGATCATAGAGTAGTACATACCTCAACAGCCCGATTACATAACTCTAGCTACCAGCTTCTTTGGCAAAACAATATTGTGTTGATATCCTTCACCTAAAAGCTGAACCTCACTGGTGGAGAAGAGTATATTTGCACTTGGATCAATAACTCCATCCATACCCACCTTCACTTGATTGACATCTAGTTCTACCCCGTGAAGCATTCCACACTTGTAAACTGTCCCAAATGCTACAATACGTCTAATGGGATCTTCCAAGTACAACTGACATAATACTCCTATTTGCACGAATTCACAATTAAGATTCATATAAAATGTTTTTAATAAATAATAATAATAAGATTAACTGTAAACGATTACTTACAGCCCGTAAATTAGCAAAAGGCTCTAGAGAACTAGTCTTTTCACTGTGAGATTGTGGCTCAACATCCACACATACGCCATCATCTTGTTGGGAAATAATGAACTAAAGTTGATTTAATATCACAAAATAATATTTATATATACACACGAAAACATATAAAATATTATTCGATGTATATCTGATATATATATATATATATATATATATATATATATATATATTGAAGGATAAGTGGTACTTTCATTAGAAATAAGCTGCAATAATGGCAGGAGGGATTAAATCCCAATACATAGCAGTATGATTCTGAAAAGCTGTAGATGCTAAAGTATGCGCTAAATAATTGTTCGATCTAGGAATAAAATTAAAAGAGCAAAAAATAAACGTAGATGCAGCTGCTCGGCAGCTATCAATGGCATAACCAACATAGGACCGGGACACTGATGGTGTTGAAGTGAGATATTGCTGTAAAGTGAGTCAATCCGTATAAATCTTCATAGACTCTTCCCCCCGATTTCTTAGCCATGTGCAGAACTTCTTTGCATGCAATTGCCTCAGCAATGAGCGGTGAAAAACAATTTTGAAGGGGCATACTGAACGCAGCAATATATTCGTCGTTTACACCAAGGAGGATTGCACCTGCCGTTGCTTCACCTGATTCGTGGAGATAGCTTGCATCGAATCGGCAAACCTTCGGCTGTGGGTTGGCTACGGTTGGCGGCAGTGTGCCGGACAGTCCATGTAGCGTCGACGGCGTCTCGGGTGGGGTGGCAGCTTGGTGCATCGGCGCAGCTGCTACGGTGTCCATGTGGTGGGCTCGTTGCCATGCTTGCATGGTTGCGGTGGCTGCCGCAATCAGAGTTCTCGGGGGTGGAAGACAGACATCCCAGACCGCTCCATTTCTTGCTCGCCAGATGTGATATAGTATCGCTGTTGCATATAATATTCCATTAGAGTCAAGAACATCTAGAAGATCACCAAACCAATCATGAAAAATGTTTGTCACAGAATTGGGTATTGGAAGGTTAGATATCCCCCAAATGGCTTTTGTATAATCACACAACACCAAGGCATGCATTGTGTTTTCATGAAATATTCAACACATAGGGCACTTCGGATCAACATCCACTCTCTTTATAAGCAAATTTGTAGTAGTTGGGAGGATATCATTAATAGCTCTCCAAAGGAATGTTTTCCACTTGGGGGGATTTTGAGTTTCCATAATGTAAGCCACTTATTGAAAGCCCCATCCCTCTCTTCATAATTCCCCACAATACGCCTATATCCATTTTTAACCGAATACACACCTTTTTGGTGCCCGTGCCAATACCAATTATCATCATAATCAGGGAAGATAGGTATTCTCATAATATTTGTAACATTAGTAGGTTGGAATAAATCAATTAGAATGGAGTGGTCCCATGAACCAGTTGCTTGATCAATCAATCCTATCACCTTGGCACCTGTCAACTGAATAGGCATCTCAGTTTGTATCATTGGTTCCTGGTCATCCTGTATCCATGGATGATCCCATTTCAGCGTATCCTTTCCGTTCCCGATCCTGCGCCTGACACCACTACAAATCAGACCTTTGGCTGCTATTATACTGCGCCAACAGAAACTGGGGTTATTTCCCATTTGGGCATCAAAAAATGATCCCTTGGGATAGTATCTTGTCTTATATACTCGGGCTACCAAAGATTCGGGTTTAGTAAGCATCCTCCATGCCTGCTTACCTAGCATAGCTAAGTTGAAAGCACGTAATTCCTTAAAACCCAGGCCTCCATGCTTCTTTGGGATACATAATTTATCCCAAGCCTTCCGGTGTATTCCGTGTTCAGTTCTGGTTCCCCACCAGTAGCGATTCATGGTACGCTCAATAGTTGTGCAGACAGATATAGGTAACAAAAAAACACTCATTGAAAAGGTAGGCATAGATTGTGCTACACTCTTCAATAAGATTTCCTTGCCAGCCTGTGATAATAGTTTCTTATTCCATGACCCAATTCTTTGCCTGATTTTATCCTCAATATATGAGAAAGCCGCCCTCTTATTCCTCCCTACAAACGATGGGAGCCCTAAATATTTCCCAAAGTTAGGTGCCTGTTCCACCACCAGAATCTGAGCCACTTCCATCCTATCCATTATATGCTTGATTTATGATAATTGACCACTTGCCCAGACAATTTTTCATATACAGATAGACAATCCTTTATCTTACCAGCCTCTTGTGTGTTGGCCTTAAAAACCAACAGACTATCATCTGCAAAAAATAAGTGAGAGATGGGGGGGGGGGCTCCCCTTGCTACCCTGCAACCATGTATAGAACCATCATTCTGCGCCTGCTGCAATAACATAGAAAGACCCTCCGCACAGATAATAAAGAGATAAGGGGATAGAAGGTCCCCTTGCCTCAAGCCACGTGTGGGCAACACTGGGCCGACGCGTGTTCCATTGATCAGGAAATTGTAGGACACCGTAGTTACACACAGCATAATCAAATCCACCCATCTAGGATCAAAATCCAGTGCCAAGAGCATGCCACGTAGGAAGGACCACTCCATTCGGTCATATGCTTTAGCCATATCCAGTTTCAGGGCACCCCATCCTACAGCCCCACATTGCTTTCTTTCAAAAAATGCCCCACTTCAGCTGCTAGGAGGATATTATCGGTTATAAGTCTGTCCGGGATAAACGCACTTTGTGAGTCGGATATAATTTCGTCCATCATAGGCTTCATACGATTCGTTATCATCTTGGCTATAACCTTATACACCACATTGCTAAGAGCAATTGGTCTAAGATCAGTAACACTTTGGGGGATATCTTTTTTCGGGATCAAGACCACATCTGTATCATTTAATCCATCAGGGAATTGGCGTGAATGCATGCAGTTTATCAAAAAGTTAGCAACATCCCCCCCTACCACATCCCAAAAGTGTTGATAGAAACCCGGATTCATTCTATCCGGACCTAGTGCTTTATCAGGAAACATTGCAAAAAGTGCAGCTTTGACCTCATCTAATTCAAACGGTCGTAACAGATAATCATTATGTGCCGGGGTGACCCGTGTAGGCACACCCGCAAAAAAAGCATCTCCATTCTCAGGGTGACCAGAACAGAAAATATGATTAAAGTAATCCAGAATAACAGTGTTCATCGCCTCCTTCTCCACCCAAACCCCATCATCATTCATAATTCTAAACAAAGTATTCTCTTTTTTTTTATGATGAGAGGCATACCTGTGATAATACTTTGTGTTGGCTTCAGCATTCCTGAGCCAATGCTGTTTGGCTCTCTGTTTCTAGTAGGCATCCTCCTGGATCTCAAGACGGCCTAGCTGCTCCTCCAGGCGCTGAAATTCAGCTAGCGAAACCGGATTAGTGTGGCCACGCAGCCGCTGTTGGTCCTTTCGCAAGGTGTTAATCTGGTCACCAAACTTATGATGCCGATCGCCACCCCACTTTGACAAACGGTCTCCACAGTATAAAATACAATCTTGCAAGCCCATACTCTTCCCTTCTTCCCATGACTTCTCCACAACAGCCCTACATCCATCATCATTCAGCCATGCCATTTCAAAACGGAAACCCCTCTAGGCGGTTCCACCCCTCCCTACGGAGTCATGGATCCCCAGAAAGAGAGCCGTGTGATCAGATTTTCGCGTTGACAAATTCATAAGCCTGGCCCCCCCCCCCCCATATATATATATATATATATATATATATATATATATATATATATATATATATATATATATATATATATATATATATATATATATATATGTTCTGGTGCAGTTAGAGTGCTCAGGTGCGGTTGTGCGGTTTAATCCGGGTCATTCATCTCGCTTAAATCAACGTCTAGGATTACCAAAATATTTTTAAAAAAATGCGGTGACAATTTTGTAATTTTTGCATCTAGGTCAAAATTAATGTGAGTGGTTCTATGATTAATGTTCGTGAGTTTTGTATATAAGATGCGTGAGTCTTGTGCATAAGGTGCGTGAGTTTTGTGCTTAAT